GAGAGAAGACGGTGGTGATGGTGAAGCATCCGGGGCACTTGACGTCCATGAAGAAGGATCGAGGGGCGGGCACGAGGGTCTATTATTGTTAGAGTTTTTGTCGTCATGAAAATTTGTCGATGCATCGTACCTTGAGCTTGTGCTTCTTGGCCTCGGCGGCCGGGGAAGGGTTCAGAAGATCAACGGCGAGAACCTGAAAAGGCAGAGAGTCAGCCAGCTTGTTCCATCATCTTGCGTATATCCTTCGCGAGTCCAATCCATCATCCATGGGGCCATCGATGTCGTGTTCCATCAAATTGATACTTTTGCCACGGGCAGCAAGATCTTTTCGAGGTCGATGCTTCACACGTCCTTCACACACGTGGTCGTCGTCCATCCCTCTCCCATCGTAGGTCCATCGTAAAATGCGTCAGAAAAAGGCAGTCGCTTACCATCTTGTCTGATTTTCTCGAAAAAGTCTTGTCGGTTTCTTGCGAGAATGGGAAAGCTTGACGAAATCCGGGATCAGATTTGAGGCTCGCAAGGTGGGTGGGAAGGAGGTAAGCGAGGAAAAGTTCGGTGGCTCTGAGGGGGACGACTGCTTCTTGCCTCTGGGCGGATTCCGTTACCTAATTGGGTAAGCGCAATAGGGTTGTAACTTTCTCGCACGTGACGACCAAAAAAATGGTAATTGTGGCCTTGTAGGGTAGCTCGGTGTAACTTAGCGCCGGATGGAGTTTGTGCAGCCGAGATGTGCTTGGTGGGGTTTATGCGAGTTATGCATCGAGAGCTTTGCTAGCTGCCTGTATCTGTACGTAAGCCAGTAAGTCATTAGGAGGAGCCTGGAGTTGAGTCGCGTCAGTCGGTTGTAGGCTACCACTTTTAGACAATACAAATTGTACTGAGGAGGCTTTTTGAAGAATTACTTCTATTCTTCAGTCTCTCAATATGTCTAATCCATTAGAGCAACGCATCAATGTTCCTATTGACGACCCAAATGCAGACACAGAATGGTAATTCTCTACTACCCCTCCATACTCCTGAGCTAGCTCAAACCCCGCCATAGGAATGATATTCTTCGAAAACATGGAGTCATTCCTGAGAAGCCACCCAGCCCGACTCCTATGATTGAGGAGGCTATTCTGGAAGGGCGAAGATTGGCACATGAGAATCGCTTGGAAGGCAAAGACCTCGACGAGTTGGACGAACTTGAAGACGACGAAGATGAAGCGTTCTTGGAGCAATATCGCCAGAAGCGCATGGCCGAGCTGAACAGCCTACAAAAGAAGGCTTTACATGGAACCGTATATCCTCTATCGAAACCCGAGTATCAACGCGAAGTCACCGACTCATCACAAAATGGACCGGTTTTTGTCAACTTGACCTCTTCAATGGGCAACAATGTTGAGTCGCGAGTCTTGACTGAGCTATGGAGACAGGCTGCGAGGGAGTACGGCGAGATCAAGTTCTGTGAAATCCGAGCGAGCCAAGCCATTGAGAATTATCCCGATCGAAACTGCCCAACAATTTTGGTATACAACAAGGGGGATATTGTTAAGCAAATTGTAACGTTGGCAACGATTGGAGGCGTCCGAACAACCATGCAACAGATTGACAACCTCTTGGTCGAGGTCGGTGCTGTACTTGATTCTGACATGCGTATTGTCAAGAGGAGGCAAGCTGCCGAGGATGCTGAGGAGGAGAGGTTGGCTGGCAAATCTATCAAGACGGGAACGGCTGGAAGGTCACGGAACGTTGACAGTGAGGATGATGATTGGGACTAAACGTGCCATGAAAGAAATTCGTGGCTTTGGTTGAAGTGACCATTGGATTGGCCAGCGTCAGACTTGGTGCAAATCTCAATGTCCCAACGCAAGGCCGCAACGGATGTTGCTCTAGTCCTTGCCAGATGCGACAGAATGCCTGTGCGGCACTGACTCATGACAGCTCTTTGAAAAAGATCGGAGTTTCACTCTCCAGTATTTCCAGAGCCTCAAAAACCACTTGCTCAACCAGTCCCAAGACGGGAAAGGGAACTGTATACTCCAGTGAGGGACAGTTTCGTACATTATCCGACCTGGCTATATGGCAAGTTCAATACGGGACGTTGATCAATAGTTGGGAACTGAGATGCCTTGTGGATGCATGCACATAGTAAATACGCATGACAAAATACATGTCATTCCCAAGCCTTCTATCACCACGTGCTGTGGGCAGCGCGATCGCCTGGTAGCTGAGGCTACCAGCAGATGATCTTCCTGTAAACAAAACCTCCAGAAACTGTTGTAGTTGTAATAGGGATGCTTCCAGGGGAGGTTTGAGTACTCGTTGTACCAGTAGGGTCTTACGGCATATGCTTATCATATCGAGAATCTGTTGTAATACTGAGCCACATCCCCAACAGGCGAGATGCACAAGGTGACCCTCGTAGGCCAAGAGATAACAAAGATCAAAGATCGCTTGTCTTGCTAATCCGGGGTTGCCGGGATCACTAGGCTGAGTCCCATGTATGCACTTGAAAGAGACAGGGGACAGTTTGTGATCTGATCAAGGGGTAAAATGACCGAGTCCACGAGTGACACAATCTAGCTTTACCGATTCTTCTGTAAGCATCAGCGAAGTTAGCACGCGTGCAAAGCAGGCCTGTATATTTACGAAAAGACAATGCAAGGTATCATTAAAGCCCTCTTCAATATGTTTCTCCTTCCAACGCCAATTATCCAAATATGCTTGCTAGTTTTCCTGATTTGTCACTGTGACAAGATTTCCACTCGGCAGCCCCCAGCTGCTCTTATCAATGTCTCCCGGACGGCATCGCCATGAGCATCCTCGATTCACAAACGGTATCGTCCTCTCGCCTTCTGCCATACTCAGCGGTGTCATCCGTACAAGAGCTGGGTTACCGGGGCTAGGCCTGTTACAAGCCCGAACTTCTCGCCATTCAACCCACTTGGTGGTGGAAATGACCATTGGTTTTCGACAGCGTGAGCATGACAATCCACCAGCCTCTTTCTGCCTTTGTGCTCGCTCCAGAAGTTTCCTGAGATGGTTAAGCTCCTCAGGGATGCAGTACGGCAACTCTGAAAGATGAGTGCTAGAATAACAAGCTCTTAGAGCTGTCTCGAGAAGACTAGGCACACGGCTTGCACCCTCGAGACGTTGTGACTCGGTCATGGATGAGACTGAGGACGATGGGCAAAACTCAGGCTCTCCTTCATCAACGGGCAGAGTAAGTTTTGTATGATCTGTTGGAAACCTGAAGTCTGAAAGAATCCTTCCTGTACTGTCTGAGAGCTGTAGAGGACTTCGACCTAGTGCACGGCTCACTAAACGTGGCGTCGGCGAGGCTCCCGCCTCAGCCTGGAAGAAGAGTGTGTTGCTGAGCTGAGCATCTGTCGATTCCAGGCTCTCATTTGGTTGCCAGAATGGATTTGGATGGACAACAAGTTTGTCAAGTTTGCTATCTGGTGCGAAAAGTTCCAGCAACTCCACGGGCAAATGCCGTAAGCGATTATGCGATACGTTGAGTTCCTTCAGACGGTGAAGTTTTGCAACAGCGGGGGGAAGTTCGGTGAGCTTGTTATGGCGGAGGCTCAGGATTGTGAGATGCGTTAGATCGAAGATGGCACCAGGAACCCGGGTCAACCGGTTTTGGGCCATATAGATCTTAAGCTCGGGATCCTTCTGCTCGAAGGCAACATCCTTGGTCACGACAGGGATGCAGGTAAACTGCGACAAAGGACTGATTGTATCATTCGAGACATCTTCCAGTCCCAATGACCAAAAATCAATTGTCTCTTCGCCCGCGTCAAGACAGGCACGGACTCTGTCACGCGCAACTTGTTCGGCTCTTGAGACGCGGCGTACGACGCGATCAAGTTGTTGAAGTCTGGGTTTTGGAACTTCGGGTACTGTTTCTAGTACATCGCTCTCATTACCATCACTGCCGAGGAAGACGCCACTGTCTGCCTGTCGCGTCCACTGACGCCTCTGCTTGGGGACGTGAATCTCACTGAAGGTTGAGTCGGAAGAGGTGGGGTGCTGCTGAAACCATGAACCAATGTATCTCTTCTTTCGTCTTCCCTCTACATAGTTGTCCAATGCCGGGTCATCATCACTGGAGAATACGGCGGGATCACTTGAATTGTTAAAAGTTGAGGATGGCGCGTGCTTTGAAGCGGCATTGCGGACGCGTTTCCGAGGATTGTTGCTGAAGGTCTGCGATTGCTCATCCCACGACACAGCGGGGAGAACAGGCAGAGATAATTCTTCTGACGACATTGGCGATAGATAAGGATGATATTCTTCAAACTGATGTTACTCGAGAACACATAAAAAAAGACTTGAAGTGGTGCAAGAACTAAGACCTGGCTTGTCCAACGCGACTCGACTTGACATTGGATGCAGAGTGACGATAGAAACCTAATGGAATACAGGGGTTTAATTGCCCCACTGACGCACTGAATCTGCCATGAACCTTTCCGTTACTGGGTGTGCACGTGCCATTGCCAGCCACTCGGCCCCTAACAAGCCGGCGGTTTCAGGGTCCTCACGAAGATTCCATCAGTGAACACGGTGGATAGACCCATCCATTGATAAGATGATCAGATAACGGCAATCTAATAAATGTGTCCTCCCTTATGTTTCTTCTTCTCCTCAATTTCGTCTAACATTCATTGAAAGCCCTTCTTTCAAATTGGATCTGATGCTGGTAGGACCACCGCTGCAGTATTGTGCTATGACTTCTTTTCTTGCGACCAAAACGGATTGGAGACGAACCAGCCAGCTTACTTAAATGACCACAATGAAACCTCCAACACAATTGAACTCTTTTGGGTTCTCATCAAGATCTCACAGTCAGAACGACCACATATAAATATCTTCTCAAAAACCTCGTCAACGATGTTGAATGGATGGGCAAGACTACAAACCTATACTACTACTAACTTATATGTTATTGGATCAAATGTATGCTGGCTATTTGCTCGATTTGCAAAGCGATTCCCTCATCGAATTGCCGTTTACTGACCCTCTTTACTAATTGGTCGGCCTCCAACAGGACGAATCATCAGAGGAACTGTGACATCTGATGGACCACCCCAGCTTGAAAAGTCAGACGTATGACTATCTACTTCCTCGAAGCCAAATCTCTCATAAAGCTTTCGTCCTTGTACTGAGGATTCTAAACATGCCGGAAGGCCCAGACGATCAGCTTCCGCAAGGCCCGAACTGAGCAACAGGGAGGCTGCTCCACGTCTGTGGTGCTTTGGGTCTGTATGCAGGAGTTTTAGATCTGAGGGGTTTGGCTAGTCAGAGAAGATATCTAATGTAACTTGCAATATTGAGACATACAAACATATGGCTTTCCTTTCATGTAATTCACCCTCATGCTGTCCATGCCTCCGAAGAAGAGCTCGCATGCTTCTGCATTACAGCTCGGCCCCCGATAAGAAGAGAAAGAATGCTGCTCCTCTGTTGGTGGACTCTCCCAGATATACCACATAGCAAAGGCAATCATCTGGTCTTCCTCTTTCTCTATATCAGTATCGATGACTTTAGCCCATCGACAGGCCGCATCCTTTCGGAGATCGGCAATGAGATCCGCGACTCTTGTTGAGGACTCAGAACTTCTCCCTCCTGGAAACAACACTGCACCTACTGGACTCGGGCCATAGGCAACGGACTCAATGGCCGCAGCTCTATGAGCATCGGCTTCGGTAGCTGGCAAGACTTTGAGAGGCATGGTACACAGTTGGCGATGGTGGGAAACAATCACATTGATAGGCACAAGACCTTACTACCTTATATAAATGCCGGCCCCGTCGCGTACTACACTTTACATGGGTTTACGACTTCACATCAATCTTCGGCGAGCCTGAATAGGCATGTCGTTGAGCTCATGCTCCGCTGTCGGCTGGGACGGGATCTGGGGTATAGCGCGACAATATGTACTGACGAAACCCTGGTAGGGTAACGAAGAGTATCCCGACGAACAGCGCCAGAATCGCAGAAAAGAAGAGACAAACTCTTACGAAATGAAATCTTAGCTGAGAACTTGTTCTAAGTCCAGCTTTGGATTGCATCCTCTTCGCTTCATCTTCAGACAGGAGTGGTTAACGACTGGTCAAGATGGAAGCCTCGAGCTGCCGAGGCCGGTTTAAACCGTTATCGATACTCGGATAATCCAACAGCCGCCACCGAAAAATTCACTCGTTGCGCGATTCAAGGCCCGGTTGGCCGCAACCTTTTACGGCGACCTCACATTTTTTCAATTCCAAACCTCGCCGTCATCAGCCTCGTTCTCGAACCCTCGCTCTCCCCCACCATTACCACTTTAATACACATAATCAGCCATGGATCACGGACGAGACCCCTGCCCTTGGGTCATTCTCAATGACTTTGGTGGTGCTTTTTGTATGGGCGTAAGTTTAGCCCTTCATGTTATGGACGATCGATTACAGCGACAATTGCGATGAGCGTAAACCGGGACGCAGCTAACATTCGCCTCATTAGGCTATTGGCGGTACTATCTGGCACGGAATCAAGGGCTTCCGTAACTCTCCCTATGGCGAGCGACGCATTGGCGCCATCACAGCCATCAAGATGCGAGCCCCAGTTCTCGGTGGTAACTTTGGTGTCTGGGGTGGCCTCTTCTCAACGTTCGACTGCGCTGTGAAGGGTGTTCGCCAGAAGGAGGATCCTTACAACGCTATTATTGCTGGTTTCTTCACTGGTGGTTCTCTCGCTATCCGAGGTGGTTACAAGGCCGCCCGAAACGGTGCCATCGGCTGTGCTGTTCTTCTTGCCGTCATCGAGGGTGTCGGTATTGGTTTCTCCAAGATGCTTGCTGGTAGCACCAAGTTAGAAGCTCCTCAGCCTCCACCTCAGGAGGCTACTCTGTGAGCCAGCATCTGACGAAACGAAATACTATGATCGGATTAATGACGATCGAACATCCTTCGACTTCCCCCACTCTCAACTCCACCACGACGACCAACAAATTCTCCGGGTCGGGCTTTCGAAGAGCCATGCCTCTTGTATTTTAAGCACCAATATCACCATCACCACGAACAAAAATCTGGCAGACGTTTTAATCCTTTCAATTCGCATCGGGTCGGCGTTCCATGTATAATAGAACAAGATATCGGAAGGGTTTCGGGAAGGTGGAATCTGGTTTAGCGATGGAGTTGCCATACTTCTTGCGAATACAGACTAACTTATGTCTGATGAGGCAAAAGAGAGCGACTGTGTATGATACCAAGCGACGGAGAGAGACTTGGGAGTGCACGTGGACCTACAGGTCCAAGAGATATAGGAATCGGAAATTCCTGCTGCAGATATTTATGCTGCGTTTATTTATCGCGGATTGGGTACAGAACGAATATAAATGACATTCCTGTTCACTCTATGGGCACTCATTGCTTTCGCTTGTCTATAGGTCGCTCGACGGCTCATTGCTGAAGATGCTCATTTGGGGCTTTCCCTCGTCATCAATCCAAGCTCGAAACATGCCTCCGCAATTGAAATCCATTAGGACTTCAGACCGAGTCTCGATGACTTGACCATGCGAATCACGAACGACAACACTCTCGATGCCAATGATGCCGCCTTCACCCTCACCTGTCCGGCGCCATCTATCACCCGCACTTCTTTCCAGCTCTCCGCCTGGGCCTGCAATATGTGTTACAGCCTTGGAACCTGACTCTGGTTTCCACCTCGCCATAGCTGCAAGGGTTCGTAGCGCATTTGTCCTCAGGAAGGAATCGCCGTTGCCAGTTCCAGAGCCACCAATGGATCTCGTGGTTAAGACTCGTTTACCCCTGAGCTCGAGGGGAGTATACGTCACAGGAGTCGGAAAGCAGTCTGCCAATGTTCCTCTCAGAATGTCGCTGAGCACAAATGAGGGGCCCGACTCGGTCATGGCATTCTTCAAGCGATCCCACGTGGACGACCCGGTCGGATCACCATCCTCGGCCCATTCCTCTGCCCAGAAGCCTGACCCAATTGTAGGCGTGTCACCAATCCGACCAGTGAGTTTGTTAGTCAGACCTCCAGTACTGGTTGCGGCGCAGATAACACCATCTTGATCAAGCGCTACTGCTCCGCATGTCCCTTGAGGTAGATACTCAGTCGCACTCCAGGTTGCTTGCCCCTGACCTTTCTTCTCTCTATCAAGAGCCCTGATATGCTCATCCCAACGACGTTGGGTGAAGAAGTAACTAGGGTCTACAAGTTCTAATCCGTACTGTTGCGCGAGTTGCTCGGCGGCCTCTCCATAGAGCTGTGTATGTCCCTGTGCGGATGGGACATCAAGATCGGCTGAGTTGACTCCTCGAGGATTCGCCTCCAGATCGTCTTCACCATGTTCCAGCATTGCCCGGGCTAGGAGGATGGGATTCTTCACATGGCGGAGACCCATGACACCGACACCTCGCTTCTTATAACCACGAGATACCATGACTGAGGCCTCTAGTTCAATAACTCCATCGCGAGTGAACACGGCGCCGTGTCCGCTGTTGAATAAGGGGTTGTTCTCCAGAAGACGGACTGCATAGGTTGCGACATCTAAAGCTGAAGGGAGCTTCTTGGATGACTTTTCTGAGACTACCTCATGACTTCTCATGTACTGGTCCGTTCTGGTGATCTAAACGACCAGTTAGATGCTTGGAAATAGGGGGCTTCTCATACTACCGTGGATGAACTCACAATATCAATAAGAGCTTTACGATAAGCCCGGAACTGTTCCGGCGGGTACGTATCGCGCTGGATATTACCTGCGCCTCCGTGAATGACCAGACGAGGCTTTAGTCTCGGTGTTGTTTGTTCTTGAACTCTGTACTCCATCTTTGGTGGTCATAACCAAGTTGTTGGAACTTAGAAACCAAGATAGTGAAATGTCAAGGGACGGACAATCTCCCCTCACTGATTGCTAAAGATGAGCATTACGACATATACGGAGCCCCACTCGTGATCAAACCCAAGATGGACTTATCCAGACAATAAGAGAGTTGACATATTTTGAGAATAACATTGCCGCCTTATCATTTAAAACATTATAGATAAGAGTTTTCAAGGGTATACGCCCATAATATGATACATGAATATTTCTTCAATCAACTCCCAGGGTTTGACACGAGTTTCGCGCTGCCCTAACACCATGCAAATGCGCCAACATTCATAGGCTCTTTTTCAATCATATCGGAGTTAAATGTTCAAGATTATAATACCCAATGGTAAGCAAACAGGAATTGCGATGTTATGCCTGAGCCAGTACAATAGATGACTTAACTGCTCTGTCTATATCCTTTGGTCGTAAGCCTGGCGTGCGACCTAAACAGACTGCCCTGCTTGTCATTTCTATACTTCATTAGTTACTGGCTTCATAACACAAGCTGAAGGAACTCACCTGCTACTAGTCGATTCACATCCATCGTCACTTTTGTCTTCATCCAACTGGCATCTGTGGCCCAATCTCGAGGGAAATATGATGAATCCATGAGAGATCCCATCCCTGTACCAAACTGCCCAGGATCAGTTGCCTCAACTGTTGGCATAATGTTGATGAAGTCTACGCCCATTGCAGGTGCCATGAGAGAAGCTTGTGTCATTGACGCTGTGGTGGTAGCGAGGGTGGTAGGTATCGTACTTTGCCACATACTCGATATGTCACTTGTGGCTTGCTGAGACGGCATATAATGCATCTGGCTTGACGCAGGAGGTTGCTGTGTTCCGAAGAAGCTGCTGCTCGTTCCTAAGCCCGAAAGGTCTGGAGTTTCGTCAAACGAGCCCATATCAATTTCAGCATCAACGAAATCCACGTTAGCAGGTATCATGATACCCCGTTGACGTAGATATGTTTCCACCTCATCTGCATCAAAGAAGTCCCCTTCAAATCCCTGGTACATCATTCGCATGCGTTTGTCGATGTGGTCACCTTTGGTCGCTTCAACGTCTTGGTTAAAAGGGCCCATTGAAAACCCAGTCATCTCCTGTGGCTTCAGAGGCTGTGCCAGCCCTTGATTTCCTAGCGGTATCGCATTCCCATTGGCTCCTGTTGCTGTATTTACTCCGGCTTCTCCATTGTTTGCGAAGAAAGTCCCAGCACCACCCAGGTTTGTGAAAGGGTAACTCCAGACAAACATTGATTCCTGGCTCACTCTTGCCAATGTGCTAGATATGCGGCGAATGATAGACTCCCTGGGTTCGAATAGTAGACAAAATCCAAAGACCTCAGCATATCGATGAGGAGGTGGATTGGCCATCGATGCCAACCTCAGACCAGCCTCCAAAGTTGCTCTCTGAAGGCGGCGACCAAAACTCCGTTCTTGAGGCGCATATGTGGCTGGCGAATGGACGTTGGGAAAGGGTGATTGAAGGAAAGGATTTTGCTCGAAACTGATTGTCGTTTGCGTGTTGTAAATAGGGAAACTGGCATTATCTGTAGTTGGCATTGTGATAATTTCGTAAGGCAGGTTCAAGGGAGGCGTAGCCTGTTGCCGTATAGTGGGATCCGGTCTTCGTGGAGTAGACAGGCTCTTCTCTTGAGAAGCGCTAAAACCAGGTGGGTTCTGCAACATGAATTCACCACTCCCCGAGCCAGAAGTGCTGGAGTCGGAGCCAGATGGGTGCCGTCCTGGGGGCTGTGACACAACTTGCTCTTGTGATTGCGCAGAGGCTGGAGTATCTTCGATGCCATCGCGGTTTGAATCATCGGCGGATTTCCTTGTGAGTGAGAGAAACTTGCGGGTTGTATCATTGAGACGTCTTGCAACTTCAGGTGCACCTTCCAGCATTCCCTGGGAAAGAACAAAGTCAAAAAAGTTCATGAACTCTTTGCTCATGTTTTCATTAGCATCTTCAAGATCCTTGACTTTGTCCTCGAGGGTCGTAATGGCAGTATCCTTGCGATTACGATAGGCTCTTTGAGCCAGTCGAATCTGCGTTCGACGACGCTGTGAAAATTGTCAATCAGAATGAGATCAGGCTGAGTGAAGGGTTTGACCCATCGACTGAACTCACATCTTGAGCCGTCTCATCTCTGGTGTCAAGGCGTGGACGGCCTCTTGATCGCTTCTTATTCCGTTCCTCTTCGTTTTCTTCAGAAGCCTTAGATCGCTTCCGCGTTGACAGCGACTCAGGAGTGGTCTGAGGTTCTTCAAGCATGTTGATTGCTTGTTGAATGAGGGCGTTCTGACCTAAAGTGGGGGGTGTATTGAACGATGAAGTCCGTGGAGGATAGCCACAGGGAAACGGTCAATATAGATCATGTGATGATCAGCTGTAGTCACAAGCGTTTCGAGTTTATGAGTCTATTGGTATGTGTTAAGAGTAACCGCCGGGACAACGACTGTATGACTCGTTGAAGCCGGATGAAAATCGGAGCTCCGCCGATTGTGCTCCGTATGCCGGGGTGGGGATCTGCGGAGGGTGCGGAGGGTACGGAGCAAAGGCGAGGATGATACTTAGATGAAGGCGGAACGATAGGGGCAGAGACGTGAGATGATGTTGGGGTTGGTGGTGAAGGGGAAAGATGGCTATGCATCGGCTAGGATCTCAAATGCCGATCGATGTCTGCTTATCGACTAGCGTCAGAAAATTGATGATCAATCAAGATAGGCACTACCTTACGGAGTACATTCAGGAACAGGAAACCCAGGCTTTGAAATTGCTCGTTGTCTTTGTCGGGATGTTTTGCAATTGCTTGTGTTGAGAGTGTAAGTATTTCAATGTTACACAAGTCATTGTTGACTGTTCTGCCCTCCCAAAACCATCTATGAGATGCAGATATCTACATGCACCAAGACATCGCATGAGAGGGGCTTGGCCATTGCTCAGCCTTAAATGGTTAGTGGGTTCCAGCGGATCGGAGCGACGTTTGACCCACTGAAGAGGCAGTGTCCAAA